GGGGGGGGGGGGGGGGGGGGGGGGTGAGAGAGAAAGAAGGGTACAAAAACATGGAAGTCTATATGTGGAATCAAGGGTGAAAAAAGGTGGCGTTATTTGTGTCAACGCCGATGACAGAAGGAAAACTTGTGAGGATAGTAATGGTGGACTAGTATCTATCTTGAGGTGAATTTGCTATTGGTTGCCATAGTTTCTAGTAGGAGAGAAGGTGAGTGTGTGGAAGTGTAGAATTTTTTTTATTTTTTTTGATAGGTAACGATATTTTTATACTTGAGGGGAGGAGAAAGCAAAGGGAGAGAAACTCGAACTATCAACAGACCACTCTATTATAGAAGGCTCCAACAATTCGGGTGGGTCGTTATTCCTAAAAGAGTAGGATAGTTTATTTGGAGAGAAATGGAAGCATATTGCTCACAAGAAGAATCTCCACCAAGGTTGAGGAGGAGGCTAGCGCCCCCACAGTCAAACAAAAGCGCGAACATTTTATCTATGGTATATTTATATTTTTTTTTTTGGCTCCCTTTGCTCCACTAGTCTTGATTAGCGAATGGAAGTATAAATGTGTGTCTGGTGATATCGTACATAAGATTATGACTGCATTTAGGAGTGATCTTTTTTTTTCTTAAAATCGATGGTAATCTCACTTTCGAAAGAGAGTTTCGATGTGGCGCTATACACCTAACTCCATAGCGAAACTAATCATTGGCAACAGGATGGCTGACCCACCAGATCGGAGGTGGTCGGGAGCGGGTGATTGGTAGTGTTATTAAAAATATACAATTTATTTACATATATAAAACAAATATTTTTTTATAGAGAGANTCTCTTTTTTTAGATAAAAAAGAACTATTCGAATCACGTACTTTTAGATTTCTATTTCGGAATTCTTAAAGCATTCACAATCATTTGTAAATCATACACGTTCTATAAACTAATATTCTCCTTACAAAGCAGGGTATCAAAAACTAGTAACAAGTGATACCTTCTCATTTGCATCTCATCCGAACTATCTTGATCAGTTTGAATACGAAGGTTTGATCCCTATTAATTGTGCATCTTCTTGTGATATTGCCTTGTGTCATACCTTTTTAGAAATTCTATTTAGACTTAAAATGTGGACATAATTTGTTGACTTGATCAATCATGACTATTGAATAGATAGTGAACTCCACGATATATATTGGGACTCATATTGATTAAGTCAACAAATCAAGAGTTGAGTTTTGGGTGCGAGTATTGTTTGGTGGATTGGTCTGGTGGCTTAGCCAGTTCACCAGTAGGCATTAACAAATAATCAAACAGGTGGTGTGCTTATAGTGCTATAGGTAAGGTAAGTAGAAAAGGGGAGAAAGAAGGATAGTAAAGGGAGAAAGAAGTTGGGGGGGGGGGGGGGGG